CCCAACACCTATATAGGAAATAGCAAACAATTGTGCCTCAGCCACCTTGCCCAGGTCATTAAAACCCAGATCCTGTCCTCCAGGTGTGTCTCAATCCCTCCCTTGGAGATGCTGCAGGTGGGACCTTGATGATTGGTGAGATATCTTTTGATCTAGCATGTTCTCAGAGGGGAAGAAGGAGGAGGCAAGAATGAAGGGACATCTGAAGAGTCTCAAATTCAAAAATGAGAATTTTAAGAACATGTTCTGAAATTGGCATGCTGAGCTTTTATAGGTAATTGGTGACTTTTCATTTTATGCCTGGGAAAGTGTGTTGGCATAGGAATTTTCTAACTCAGACTCTGAAATTGTGGAAGTTCATTCACTGGTTTATCTTCTATGTGTTCTATATTTTAACTTTTGTTTAAAAAATTACAGTAACAACTGGATTTTATATTTCAATTGTTTAATTCAGCGATAGAGTTGACTAATTTTTGCATTAAAGATTTAATATGGAAATAGTGTAATATAATTTTATTCTAAAACCTATGTATACTACACAGTTCTGTTTATTGACAGATATATTAGATTTACCCTATTCTTGGTAAGGAGACAAATTGTAGCATCTCTTCCTGCTGAAATTAAAACTAGTACCAGAGTTTTGCTTTCTGCATTATTGAACTATAGTCCATATTAGGCAAGCATCTTTTGACTGTCTACTCAGGTCATGTCCCATTAATCCAGCTCATTTCCTATGTTTTGGATGTGTGTATTCTATTGATGGTAGTGGATAGGACCTAGCAGTAAATGTTTCTACATTACTTCAAATTGTGGAGAGCTGTGAATTTCAGAGGAAGACTGGAATAGACAGTGTAAGTTCTGTGCTCAGATAAAGTAACTTTGAACTGATCCTGATTAAAACCATACTGCTGAGGAATGATTATCTTAACTAAAGAGCTTGGACAAATAGAAATAGCTGTATCTTTTTACTTAGCTAGCCTTTATGTATCCACATATATAGTTAGTACATTAACAAGTCCAAACTTTATATTCTATGGATAAAAACTGGCAATGGAATTTGTGTTAGATTGTTACCAGGCCAGCAGCTCTCACTGAATGTCCTACTGTCTCTGTGACTGCTCAGAAAGACCTTCTGTTCTTCTTCTTGACCTGCCTGTGGCAGCACTTGGTACTCATGAGGCAGATGAGATCTGCTCTGCATTCTACCACCCAGGCAAATTTTAAATTCTTTGCATTTTCTACATATAAATAGCAGACTGTTTCCAGCAGCTTAGTGGGAGTCACCCTGTTTGCAATGCTGTTTTGAAAGGAAAATTTCAGTGTCATTTGGAATATGTAATTTTTTATTCCTGGAAGGCTTCTATCTGATTTCAGCACCCATTAGTGAGGCATAGTTCAGAGTCCCAAAGGGCAAACCTGTCCATGAACAGCCATGGTGTGCACAGTGTTCATGATTTCTCCCTCTCTTTCTGCTCATGGCCAGCACCAAGAGCTGTTTAGCTGATGCCCCTGTCTGGGCAAAGGCACAGAAGAAGCTGTTCACCAGTTTTTTAGAAAAAGGCAGAAAGAAGGGGCAGATTGAAGCCCTCTGATGCTGCTGAGGCTGCACAGCAATATGCTGGGGACATGTCACTCTGGGGAGAGGGGTCAGCTGGAGAGCCCAGGGAAAGCACAGATCAACATATCTTTGTTAAATGACTCACATATCAGTGGCTACGATGGGGATTAAAGTTGTGTCTGAGGGACACACTGGAAGAATTGCCACATCCAAGCTGAGCCCTTGCTCTGCAAAGGCAGCCTCTTGGATCAGGGTACTGTAACTTAGTGCTTCTCTGCATCTGCACTGGTGAATTTAGGAGCCAAAGCCTTAAGCAGGTTTGTTTTACAAGGAACTCCAGCTCTCCTCTCCAGAGTGATGCTGCAGTAGTCTCTGACCACACCAGAGGAGCTGAGACAGATAAGACCCACAACAAAAATTGTGCAAAGGGTGCAGAACCCACACTTTTGAATTGCCATCCCAGAAGTCTTGTCTTTGGCTGGAAACAAGATAAAAACCTTTCCTAAGGCACCATAGCTCAAGAGGAGCTATGCCACGAGTGCTTCCACAGCTCATCCCTACAGCAGGATATTTCAAAAGGCAGTGCTTAATACCAGAACATAGTGAATGACATAGGAAGGAAAGATCTTGGACAGTTATTATTATTTTTAATTCCATTATAGTTTTAGCTGAATCATGAACACATCTGAAACTGAAATTGTGGGGAGTGCACTAAAAACAGAAGATGAACTACAAGGATGTGTCTACTTAAATGTGCTTCAGCTCTCCCCAGACTATGATGCAGTCTATAGAAAATGCCAGTGCACTTTGCCTGCAGACTCCTAATGCTGCAGATTGGTGTAAGAAGGAGCCAAGGTATCCTGAAATGCTATATCTGAGTGCTCTCTCACTATGCCTCTTATACTATTTTAAAAATACTGTTATTGTATTAGTGCATGTGAAGATTGTTGGGCTGCCTGCTCCAAATAGGCACAGGGAAAAAAGCTGCAGGAAGCAAATACTTCCACATCACTTTGTTGGGGGACCTCTCTCCCAGTCCTAGCCAGTCCCATTAAGTCCTTGTGTTTTGGTCTGTCCTGTTGTCTGTCTCCCTTCAGAAGCTGCCAAAAAATGGTTTTCTTGGTTTGAGTTTTTTTGTAAGGTTGTTGAGCTTTTTTCTTATATACCATTGATAAAAATGCATTTGAGACACAATTCCTTTGGATAGCAATGTCCAGCAATCTAAAGCTGAAATACATTGTTATAATCCTTTGAGAACTTAATATTTTATTAAATTTTTACTCTCTGAATATGTTTTTATTTAAATTACTTTATCATTAGCATAAGAAATGTTAAGCCTTTGCAGGGATAATTAGGGCTCTTGTAATCAGTAAAGTATATTTGAATTGCAATTGTACAATTTAATACAGGAAGTTTCATAGACATTTAGGATAGATATTTTATGGAAAACAGGTATTTTCTAGAGAAACTTGATATTTAAAATATACGTTTTATTAATATTTATGGTAGCAACGCATCTGGAAAACATCTTTCTCACAATATCTGGGACTGCAAAAACAATTATTTTCTTCCAAGTATCAAAGTTCAAGAGGAAAGCCACAACTTCATACCCCTGCTTATGTCCTCCCCTAGGTGTAACCCTGTGTATGTGGGTGTGTATATACATCCCTGACATGTCTGAAGCTGTCGTTGAAGACAACAGCACATCTGTGCATGAAGGACTGGTGAAACTGGGTAATTAGACTGTCCTGAAAACAGCTCCTGTCCTGTTGAAAGCAGAGTGTGCCTCTCTTACTTTAGTGCCTTAGACTTTGTTGTGCCACCACAACTTTTACAATTGCACTCTTGCTCTAATTGTAGAAGTCTATAAAACAAATTATGCTTTGTCTTTGTAGGAATAGTGAAGCCTTAAAAATGGTCATATGAAACACTGAATAACAGTGTTTTGTGCATCTCTTTTATTTGTTGTGGAAAGTGAAAGTAAGTATTTCACTTAAACACCAAAAACATTCAGGACACAGGCTGAGAAGTCCCAGAATAACCTGGTCTCAGGCAGGGGTGGTGGGATCAAGTATCTCCAGAAGGTCCCAACCAATCAGACTCTTCTGTGATTCAAAAGTCTAAATTAATGCCACCTAAACTATCATAAGAAATCAAACAGGAAAGTGTCCAGCTACTAGCTGTCAGCTGGAAACCACTATGGTTCACAGTAGCTTTGATTTGGATGAGGAGGGGAATTTTAGCCTTCATTGAGAGTTATTTTGGATCACTGAGCCAACTGGATCCTTAGATTAAAGTGTATCCTCGCCTCCTAAGCTTTATCAGGTCCTTCATAAACCAGCTAGTTTGTGTGCTTGCCTCTGTTCAGAAACAGCCCGGTGTTCTGATAACGTCTCATGATTTTAATTTGCAAAAATCAAAGCCAAACAAGTATTTCATGTCTGACTTGCTGGTTTGTTCTGTGTGTATGGCCAGTGCATTGTTCTCACCCACAAACCTCTCCTTCCCTGCCTCCTCCACTGGCACAGGTGGGAAAGTACTCAGTGACTCAAAAAGCTTGGGGTGAACTGTGAAAATCCTTAGTGCTCTCAGTGGCCTGAACAAAGAATATTTTCAAATTCCTCTGAGTTTTGCAAAGAGGTAGCTTAGATCAGTGATTGCTGGATGTTGCTTCACACATTTCTTTTGTATTCACATGAAATAACAAATGAAAATCAATAATATTCACAAAGAAATACTATTGATATGATTGACCAAATTAATTTCTGGGTCTTGGAATCAGGCACAGATTTTGTACCCTTGAGTAGGATTTAGCCTCTGAATTTGTCATCCAAAAGTGATTTAACTAGTCTGAATCATCTTTCCTTTTTCTAGAGTTAATGGAGAGAAAATGTAATCTTAAGTAAACACTATATCCCACTTTACTTAGAATGAGATGCCTGTTGATGTGCTTAGCATGAGGGAGCCCAGAGAGCTGGCTCAAATGTGAGTGTTCTCAGTATCTGGAGTCATGTGAAATTGAGCCCACCAAAAGTAATCGCAGTCTAAATATGAAAACCAGGCTTAAGGTGCAAACCCACCAGAAAAGTGTCATGAAATGGTGGGCAACTCTGTAACATCACCAAAAATCTTCCTATAAGATTTAGTAGAGTCTAAAACTGTAGGATTAAAAAAATAGAGCAAAGGGAATTGTTTGATATGTGAAAAGAGGAGAGCGGTTCTGGCACACTGTAACAGAGATTGAATCTTTGAATCCACCCCTTCTGCTACCTCCACCCCCAAAATCTGAAAACTTCCTGATTTGTGTTCATCAATAATTAAGAGCCCATCAGCAATACTCAGAGGGAGCTTGCATTGCACTTCTGAGCAGCCAGTTAGTAATATACGGTGGAGAGATCCTCTTTTTCAAATCCCAAGGCTCCAGGCCATGCAATGCTAGTATTGCATTTTCAATTAGCTTCTGAGTGAATGCTTGGCATATGTGGAAGTGAGCTGGTACACAATTAGCTTATTGTTCCTTTCAGCTTTCTGCTGAGAGGATCTGAAGGGCTGCTGAAGAGAGGGGAGAGGGGGGAAAAAAAGCAAATAGCCAAGGCAGTGGCATCTCTGTGGATGTGGAGTACGGGAGCCGCTGGGCTGGCGCAGATTGCCGGGCTAAGTCGGGAGTTGCAGCTGTTCCTGCCGAGCTCCCAGCCTGGCCGTGGCCACGGCGCGGGCACAGGCACAGACCCAGCCTCCAGCTCCAGCCTCTTCTCTCGTCTGTCTCACCTCAGCATCACCATGGAGCCCAACAGCCCCAAAAAAATACAGTTTGCTGTGCCCCTCTTTCAGAGCCAGATAGATCCTGAGGCAGCTGAGCAGGTAAGGAGGATGAGTTTCCTTCGCTGTTTCGAGGGAATGGGGCAAGATGTGGGTGAGCGCAAATGATACTTCTGACCTAAAGGCTTTTCTAGCTTATATTAGTGAAACGGTAGATTAAATACTCTGGGGGTTATAGTGATGTTTGATGTACTTAAAGAGGGAGAAGGATATGTCCTCTAGCCAGAACAAGGCTTCTTCACATTGGGTAGGTTTATTCATGTATATTTGTTGTGCCTTTTTTGTAACTGCACTTCTACCCTAATACTTACATTTCACATGAATACACTCAATGAATACATCCTCGACAAATCAAGTACATTATTATTATTATATGTACATAAGTACATTAATTACATAAGTACAGTATTATTATTATATATACATAAAGCAATGCATAAAGTTCATAATAGATACCTAACAGAAATACCGGGAAAACATCTTATTTACCTTTCATTTTAACATGAGAAAGTACAACTAAAGTTTTGCACAATAGTCATAATTTCAGTTACTTCCTGTATTTCTCATGATTTTTTACAGTCTTTAAGTAATTTTTACAGTATTTTACACGCCTCAAAAAAAAATACATGTGGCAATATGCCACACTTATGTCCTTGTTGTAATAATGTGTGTGCTATTTTAGGTTCCGACTCACTCCCAAAAAATACATATAATAATATATATATATATAATCTATTTATGTGTATATATATATATATATATATATATGTCAGTACAGACGTCTGAGGAGGAAAAGATATCTATTGCTGTGCACAGATATGTGTAGCTATGCCTAATAAGAGGTCACAGGCAGTCTTGTGAGAAAACTGTATAAATCTTAATTAGGTGACCCAGTATATTTCTCTCTCTGCAAGTTGTCCTCAACATTTACTTCTATTTGGGTACGTCTGACTTTAGATGATACCAGGGGAATATTATAACCTTGAAAGTTCCATACCAGTAGCCGTGAAATTATTTGCACCTTTAGGACAATTATCTGGTTTCCTGAATATCCTGATGTTGTGTCTCCTAAAAGGCAGAGACCTTTTCCAGAAAGCAATGAGTTGGGAGTGACCATTGAATGCAAAATATCAGAAGGGTAAAGAAAATAATTGTTGTGGGTCCTCATTTTGTCTCTAGGCACTTCTGAGCTGCGAGATGTCCGTACCTTATAGAACAGTTCTGCAATGAATTCAAGCAGGATGTGTTCTGGTGTTTTTCTGATATTTGTGAGAACCATAGGATTAGGATTTCCTGGAATTCCCATGGCTGTTGAAATACTGTAGCCTATTTTCTGCCTGGTATTTATGGGCAGTCCTTTTTTTTTTTTGCTGCTGTGAGTTTTATTCCAAGTGCTATACAGTTTCACTGTGGGTGTGTGATGAAATTAAAATAGTAAATTCTACGGTCAGCTACAGTTACACTAATCTAGAATAAACCCATTAACCCTGATGATGTAACTTTCCATTTACACCTCTGAAAGCAAAATTTGAACCTTGCTAAATACAGATGTTGGCTCAGCAAATAAAAAAGAACAAATGCACTGACATTGAGGTTTTGTGTCAGAATGGTTTCTAGCTTAAATGCTTCTGGTCCCTGTCTTATATTCAATAGAATATCAGGCCTGGAGGCTTTTGTGAAGCAAATAAAAATATTTCAGTGCAAATGTGTTCATTATAAGAGGGTATTCCAATATCATGTAGTTCAGCCACTGTTAGTGCAACAAAAGTAGTTACCCAGATAAACTCTGAAGAATTGTATACAATTCAGGATTATGTACTGGTATGTAAAATCTGCTATATTGGAAATACTCTTTTAATACTGGAGTATTTTTAGTTAAAGAATGTTACTGTAGTAACACCTCTGACAACATTTTATAAACATGACTTCACTGGGAGGTATACCTGCAAAACTCTGAAATGTGCCTGCAAAATGTTAATTATTACTTGAGAGAACTATGGCAGTACTAGGCATTTGCACATACAAGATCAGAAACTATGAAATCATCTTCATGATGCAAAGCTAAACGTCAATATTTTAACATATTACTGATATTTTTCAGAAATAAATATCAAAAAAAACTGAAGTCAAGATTATTACAAATCCTAAAGGTATTTTGGACAGCTCTCCCCATGCCTTTGTTCTCCCTGAACAAGCAGCAGCATGACCCTGCTTAGTGTCAGACCAGACAAGCTGTCAGTAAGACAGTGAAGTGCTGCTGTTCTTTAAATAGTTTCCTTTGTAACTTTGCCTAGTCTATACTCTGGAGGACACCAGACAGATTTTTTGCTTTGCTTTGCTTTGTCTGTGTGGCAATTGATGGGCCCTAATGACTCTCCTTGGTTTATATCCATTACAGATCAGGAAAAGAAGGCCCACGCCAGCATCACTCGTCATCATGAATGAGCACATGCCCCCAGGTGAGTGCTAACATACCTTCTAAACCACAGAGCTTGTACACACAGGATTGGCTGCAAACTGGTTTAATTAACTACATGATTTTAAAAATCCAGCATTAATTTTTTAGCTCTAAATATGAAACAATGGGTCGTAGGACTGTGTGGAGTAAGCCCCGCAAACACGGGTAAATCCTGGCCTTCAGATAATGTCACTGATTTCACAATTTTATCCTCCATGTCAATCTTTGTTATATGTAGAAGGAGAGTTAATATGACCCAGATCCAGTTCTTCCACCCACAAATATTTTCTTTCCCTGGGTGGAGACGTTGGAGACCCTGAAGTTCGATCTCCAGAGATACCAGGTTGTATCCAATGTTAATTCAACCCAAGGAGTTGTTTCTACAAAATAGATTCTCTTCTAGTTTCCTGATAAAATATATAATGTGTTTTTTCATTTTTTTTTTCAACTGTGAATACGTTATCTTCATCCAGGAGTCCCCACAGAAGATTCCCTGCGGGATGGGATGATTTGAGGTTGAGACATACTTTGTCATATAAATATGACTTCAGAAGGATCCCTTAATAAGCTGTTTAGGGAGTGTTATAAACAAAAAAAAAAAAAAACCACAAAAAGGGGAAAATCCTCAATACTTAATCCCTTGGAACACGGTGCCTCATTTATACCAAACTTTTCCTTTGTTGTTCTCTGCAACATTTTTTTCCTGCCAAATATCTTAGTCACCTTAATATTTTTTAAAATCTTTTTGGGGAGTAGCTTTTGGTTCTGAATTTCAGGTGACTCAGCTCTCGCAAATGGTGCATGATCTGCTTTGAACTGACTTTCTTTGCCTATATAGGATAATAATGGGATTTATACAACGTTGCTAGGACTTAACTTAAAGGAAATTCACCTTCACTGTTAATCTCTTCTGCAATTCACTTTGTACACTTTGTACTGTCATATTTCCTTTTATAAACAGATACTTGGTACACTACCAAATCAAAAGCAAACAAAGAATAAGAACTCTTTAATTTACAGGAAATTTTACTGTAAACAAAGTGGTACATGTCTGTTATCACCTTTCCTGCAATGTTCATAATAAGTCTTTAAATAAATAATTTTTATTATGAGTCAGGATTGCTGCAGGTTTCAGCCAACTTCCATATAAGCCCATGAGTTAGTATTTGTCTTCACTTACTTAGATTTGTTTATTTAGATATTATTTGTTCCTTCTAGATACTGGGAACTAATAGGAATGAATTTATTATTTGGCTAAATTATAACCTTGTTCTGATTTAAAATTTTCCATAAAACTGAATAAAAATTGAAACTTTAAAAGCAGCTTCATTTTCCTTCCCTTCACCATGAGGTTCATGCAGATTTCCACAGGGGGTCATTTGCTTAATATGGGCAAGTGTTTTGAACAGGGTGTGTGCAGGTAGCTCTGGAAGCCTGCTGAGTAAAAGGACTGTAAAGCCAGCTTGGAGAGGCAGACAATAGGTTTTAATGGATGTGCAAATACTAAATAAAGCCCTTGTGGTCTTCCTCTTGCAAGGTGCTGTACAGCTTCTGAGATGGTTGTGTGCCTTCAACTTTCAGAGTCAGCTGGTCCTAGGGCCTCTTGACACCTTGCTGATTAAACCCCAAAATACTGATCAGTTACTGGATTTTGAATAGAATTCAGAGGGATGCTGAATAAAATTTGTCTCCAAAAAGAGTAAATTCATCCCTGCAAATGGATACAGTTAGTTAAAAAAAAAGAAAAAAGTAGGGGTGCTAATTTGACAATCCAACAAATTGCTTTAAAAGTGTGATTCCCTAGAAAAATGGGAAAACTGAGAGCAGTAGAGAGTTCCAGTGATACTGACAGAGCCACCCTTTTTTATTAAAGCTAGGCTAAATAAGAGTCCTGTCCCCTGAATTTTACCCACTGCAGTATTCAACTTCCTTCATTGGGAGCAAGGAGCTACTGAAGGGTATGCTTCCAAGAGTTTGAAATGTGTCCTAATGCAAACCTAAATGTTTGAATGCCCCTGCAAAGTTTATTCAAATTATCAAAATGTCTCTTTTTTTGAAAACCAGAGACAGACATACACTAAGAATCAGATTTTTCTATAGCCTTCTGTTACAGCTGCTTCTGATTGCAGCTGGGAAAAAAAAGTAGCATATTTGTGGTATTCTAGTGTTCTGGATGCACAGCCATCTGGAAACCAGAGGGCAATAAAATGTGTTTGGACATTTAAGAACTTCATAATAAATTCAGCTTGAGTTCTATTAAGTTTTCTCATCCATCCCTGATGCCTGTTACAGCTTTGGTAGGGATATGTCTTCACCTATTTAGGTCAGGTCAATCGTGCTAAAAAGCGAAGATGGAATATTTACTACGCCTAAGTAATTTTAAACCAAAGACAGCTGCTCAAAAACTATAAGAAGAGTCTGTTTGACTTCCTTGTTTTTAAGGAGGCAGTGTTAGACCACACTGAATGTTTTAAAGTCAGGTGAAATGTGACTACAGGAGCTCATATCCAGCCTGTAGCATCACTGACACTCACATTTCCTCATGCTCACTCTGGTTGGCATCATATATAAGTGCAATCACAGTCAACAAAAGAGAAATTTGAGTTGCAGCAGCAACAGTGATTGCAGTGGACAATATGACCTTGTGAAGCAACATAGCAATGAAGAAACCCTTAACTCTACCTGCAAGTTCTGTGTAAAGTGCTCTTAGATGGGTTGTGTCACATTTGAGCAGAGAAACTAGCACTAGCAAACTGAGACTTGGGTTATGAAGCCACTTAAATCTATTGTGCTTCAATTGCCATCAATGGAGCTCTATTTTCTGAGCATCTGATGTTTGATTTTGTAATATCAAATCAGTTTACTTTTATTTGAAATTATAAGACCCTTTTACTATCTGTGAAGGCAAAGACAAGTATATAGTGAGATAGTTACACAAATGGGCAGCATCTCATCCTGTGATGGTGGTGCATGGGTTACTGGGGTGATCCACTCACATCCTGCTATAGCCACAGTTGCTCTACACCAGCCTTTTATAAAAGGAACATAAGCAGATGCTTAGTTTTAAAGACACATTTAACTATTACATTGCACAAGTGTCCAATCCAAAAATTGTTACAGCTCTCCTGCTTCCTTTCCCCCTGCAATATCCTTGGAGAACTTTAACAGAAACTGTGTATCACCATCAAAGCAGACTTTTCTGTGTATGCACAACCTCCTGTCTCCATGCCCAGCATAGCAAAAAATATAGGAATATCCATTCCTATTTGTCTGAAATTATTATGTCTGGAATAAACATCTGAGCATCCTTTAAAACAGCAGAATATCAAAATGCAACAGCTCAAGAAAAAGCTGGTAGCAGAGTAGAGAACTGATAGCTGAGGGAAGAAAGCACGTCAGACCACAACTTGGGTTTAATAGCATTAGGGCTCGCTTTGATCAGGAAACAATGCCAGTGCTCCTGTACAGACTGGTTTTGTCACAGAGCCAGCACAACTTCAAACAGTCTGGCTGGCAAAGGCTCTTCAACTTATGTCAAAGTGTTCAGTCTTCTTGAAGCATTGGAATATGGGTAAACATTAGGACAAACTTCTGTGTATCTAAATTTTCTATGTATTTGCTGTTTCCAGCTCCCCTTTTTGCTTTGTTGCCTGTTTTGACTTCCTTGCTTTTAATGTAAATGTTATTCTGTGTTTAGAAATACAGCTGCCTTTTTGGGCTTTGCAAATCTCATTTCAGGGTATGTTATCACTGCAAAAGCAATATAAAACATACCTTCCCAGCATAGCACAGTACATCTGAGCTTACTGAATGCTGGAAATCATAATTTGAAGAAAAGAAATCTGTACCTGTCTCTGAACAAGGAAGGTACTCAGAGCTTGTGTTTGGGCATGAGTAGTTTTGCTTTCTCATTCCTAGCTGGTTTTTGGTTAGCCAGAAATAATCCATGCCTTTCAGTTTACTGTCACTTCCCCGGAGTTCTGCTGAGATGTCTCATGGGCAATCTCAGTATTTAGTGCAGGAGCAAACAGCACAGCCAGGTGAGTGGTGAGAGGAAAATCTGTCCTTATACCTTTGTCAATTCCATGACAACCCAAAGTAGTTGAGGTTTTAATGCTAAATTGATTTTAGACAATCCCAGACTTTCTCTGCACAATAAATCTCATTACCACAGACAGATGTGCTTTTCTGCTGATGCAAACTGTACCAGCAACACATTCTTGATGGGATTAATATGAGTCACTTTGCCCAGTATTAAGGTTTGTGACTAATATTAGTTGGATCACTCTTCTAGGTGAATGAGTAAGTTTGGGTTTAGATCTAATGATCACAGTTTTTTTTTCTTCCAAGACAAAATAAACTGAGCTCAAGAAAAGACCTACTTAGTAGGAGGCATGTGTTTCTGAGCATTGTCAAACAGTTCTGCTATACTTTCTCAGGGAAAAATCTCAGCAGAAAACTCTTGGTCTCAGAGTGCATGGAAACTGATATGTTTTTCAAACTATTGAGATTCTGGTAGGACATACTGCTTACTTTAGTCCAAGAACTAGAGAGTGAGTAAGCCAAATAGCAGCTGTTTTCAATTGCAAATTTAGGTTTCTAATGTGGTAATAGAGTATTCAGAAAAGCAGTACATGAATAAAAACTGTCATTTGCTGTACTTTTTTGTCAAAGTACTTAGCCTCTCTATATGCTAAATGTATATGCCATTTAAGCATTTTGTCTCTTTTTATATTGGTCCAGGAGTCTGTGGAGGTATTTCAGTAAGCAATGAAAAACATTTGTGTCCCCTCACAGCAGAGGGCTGGTATAGCCCAGTGCAATTACTGACGGCACCAGGATGTTCGCAGTCTAGGCACATCTTGTCAAGGCAGTGAGGGCCTTCGTGTGCTTTCAGCCTGTGCTGGAAATGACTGTCTGACACAGTCAAACAATGAAATATGTAAAGTAAACATTGTGTAAGCCCTAATGGGTGATAGGGGTTCTACAACAGAGATAAAA